CTGTGCTCCAAAATCTCATTATTGCCGAGTTTCCCTGCCATTTGATGTTAGGCATAGCACGGATGTAATTTGTTTGGAGGCATCGGTGACTACTCTAGCGGGTCCTGGCCTCACACTCATACCCTTTTCACAACCCAATCAGTTCACATACACCAATCCGCCTCTTTCTTCCCTGAGCTCCACTTCAGTTTTTTGGTGTCTGGTTCTCATAAAATGACTCTGACATTCACAAAGCAAATGTCCTTTGAGTTTTGACATCAGGGTGAGGTGAACCACCAGATGTGGTATTCTTATGTGGGTTGAAGGAAACAGACAATGTTTACATTAACCTTTTCAAGCCCTTTCCCATGCAAGGTTGGTAGCACGGTAGTTAAATAAAGAAGCTTAGTCATCCAGTGTACTAAAAGCACTTGACACCATGTCAACTTATCTACTGTAGCCATGCGATCTGGCAGTCCAGGCCAAGGAGCTGAAACAGCCCTGTGTGGAGCACCCGATGCCCTGTGAATATGTAGTTCTGTGAGAACATGACTTTATTTCTTTTCCATTTGTTAACATGCCTTTACCAAACCTCATTATGAGGAGATTGGCTGCTAATAGGAGAGTGATGAAAATTTCACCCTGATTTTATGAACTTGTGGACTGCAAGTCGATGTCTCAATTGTTTTATTTATTTTCCTGGACTATGGTCTAGCAGATAGAGAATTGCAGATGCCGTATATTGGCAATGTCCCTTCAAATTGCTAACACTTCACTAAGAAAGCCCTGTATTTACTCTCTTAACTTCATTCTATTTTGCTATTATATGTAAAAATATTAAAATCTGGCAATTTTAGTAGCTTACTCCAAGAAATGTTGTTACTTGATTTGTAATTTTTAATTTTTTTGGTAAGCTGAGAAAACCAAATAGAAACAGCAAATTTGTTTTGGTTAAGCTCATGACTTCTTTTAAAATACCATATGGTTTTCTTAAACCTAGCCATTCTCCTCTTTTCTCTTCTAATTTATGAAAGAAGAACATTGCAGCTATTAGTAGATTTAAATGTTCCAATAGCTTAGAGGCAGCATCAGCATCCTTTTACAAATGTGGAATCTGTCAGGATGCTCAAATAATGGTTAAAAAACTGCCTGACAATTTTCCTTTGTAAGCAGTTGTGACAGCTCAAAAGTAATAATTCCTATTAATAAGTGATGTAACGTATCTCAACATGGATCCAAGCCTGCAACTATTCTGTCAATAACAGAGCTAATCAGTTTAACATGCTGTGGGCTGGGACTAGTAATGCATACAAATGCACAAGTAACAAGAGGACAAAGCTTCTCTTTTCTATTGGGAGTTTTCCTCAGTGGTGACGGACTTCGAGGCATCCCAAGGAGAACTCTCTTACATTTGTACCTGTCCAAAACGTCTGTTCTCAAGCTCCCCCTTATCTCTGGAGTATGCTGGAGTCATTTTTATTGCACTGTAATCTTCCCAGTGTATCTTAGTGTGTCTGCAGTGTCTTACTTTGATTACATTGTACACTCCACTATTCTTGACAGAAAGAGGGAGAGTGTGAGCAAACAAGGGAAAGAAATAGAGGAGAAGGAAATGGTGGGGAAAGGGCTATCTACAAGTATCTGTTAATAAATCATATATGTCTTTGACAAGGATTAGGAACATAGCCTTGTTGTACACCTGTATGTATATATGTTTTGTATGTGTTTCAATAGCTAGAGATATGTTTCATACCAGCCTGATCTTCCAGTACTTTTCAAAATATAATGATGGCACTAACAGTAGACAAGGAGACTTACAAGCGCAAGTTCTATGTAATTCTAGAAACTGAAGTCTTTGGGGTAGATTAATGGCAATGATTGATTGGGGACAACACTTCAGTCAATATTTACATTGTGCCACTTGCTTTATAGATTGTTTTCCCCCAGCCCTATAGATACAGCCGTTCTCCAGGAGAAAGTAGGGCTCCATTTGCAGTACAGATTATAAAAGTTTATCCATAGGTGATCTTTTTGTCTCTCACCTTTTCCCTTCCTCCCCTAAATTCTGCAACAACCAAACAAAAAAGAAATCTGTTGACAGAGGCAAGAACCAAGAGTGTCAGGAAGAAAATGTGGTCTGAGATTTGTGAACTACAGCAACATGATAGCTTCACTCTCTGACTGTACTCAATACAGAAAGTTCAGGAATGCACATTAAGCATCCTTAGTAACTCACACCAAAGCTCCCTGTAGAACAGTGACTTGACTCAGTTGAGGATGGCATCTGAAGGCAGATTGTCATAATGAGGAAGGGGATTAAAAATAAGAGGAAAAATGCTTGATCCCATTTAGTAAGCATTCTATTGGACTGTAAATGGACATACCAGTAGGCATATGACAAATATCATTTAACATTGTTCTCTGGTTACTGAATTTATTTAATTCCCTAAAAATTAAAATCATTTTCTTCCTAGTGCAAGTATTGTTTGCAAGTGTTTTCAGTTGTTGCCAGCATAAGTTAAATGGAACAGAAAGAACTTGTGCTTCATAACTATGATCCTACTATATAGAATTTTATAATTTCAACTAAGGTTTGTCTCATTCCAAAGTACCATTCCTTAAAGGTAGACCATAATGTTCAACTTATACACAAATGACAACTTATGTCTGTGTTGATAAAGGCTACCAAGATAAATCAGAATGACCTGGCATTGTAATATCAAGCATAGTCCTGAAAATCAGAAAATCATCATGCATACAAGAAATACACTTTAAAATTTTTTTGTCTCCCTCAGTCTACTGGAGTTTGTTCAACTAGGAAAGGGAATGACCGAGATCTGTGTCTGTGTGCCTATGGACAAGGTCAGATCACAGTGTGTTTGTTCCTCTGGGTAGCTCTTGAGTTTCTGTAGGTCAGATGTCTGTGTTTGTGTAGAAATAATATTTCCTTGATTGAAATCTAGCATTTAATCCAAGGCATAATGGCCTAACCTGTATCTCTCATTGACTTTAGTGGGTAATTGTTAGGGCAGAGGAAACAGTTTACTAACTTTGTTGTCCTATAAAACACCTGGAAATCTCAGTGTTTTTCATATTGAATGAGCAGAAATATCTGTAATTCATAGCCAATTGGTAGGAGATAGGCTCATGGATAAATTATGTAAGAAGATACAGAGTGAATGTATAGCAATGTAAGGAGTAGTAGCCCCTATTTCCTAGGAACCGGGCTCAGTTAGTCATTTGTGCTACATTCTCCTGGCTAATCTTGCAACCTTTTCTATTCAGGACAAACTTAAAATAAATACAGTTTGACCTTGGGAATTACATTTTCTTCGGTAGTGATTGTTGGACATGCTGATACTTCATAGTTCATCCTGGGAGTCTTCTCACCTTTGCCATTGATAGGTTTCACAACATGCTTCTACTCTTCCACAAAAGCCTAACTCCTCTTACATTGCAATTTCCAATCCCACTACTACTACACTAATTTTTTAATGAAAAGCATGGTTATAATATGAAAAAAATACTCCAAGAAAATGAGCTGAAGTTTCGGGATTCTCATTTAGTGTAAGTGGAGAATAGCCATTTTCTAAGTTACAAAATCTCTTAATCTTTTGTACAATATCACATATACACCCTCAATAAATGTTGCACTGTATGTAAACTAGAGATGCGCTTCCAAGTGAGTAAATTATAGCTAATGAATCACATAGCCTAGATTTCATTAGTAGACCTTGTTAAAATGGCAAAGCACAGTTTGTGAGTGTGCTTCTCGAACACTCAATAATAACAATTTTTTTAAAAAACTTCCCCAACATCATTTGGACAAAATTAGTTACAATCTAACTCTTTAGATGTGCATGTATGTAGGCTTTAGCTTTAAAATGTGTATATGTTAATGTGCCTATGAGTTTGAATATTTACATTAAATGGACAATATTCATTAAGAAGACAATAACAGAACATCTAACATATTTTTAAATGAATATTGTTTTAAAGTTCAGTCGAAGAGTAGGCATAATGACCTGCCTAAAGATAGTGAAAGAAACAATTATTACTTTAAAGGTAAAGCCACATGCATCTATTATCCATCATGTATCCATATATCGTCTATTAAGTCTATATCTATCTATCTATTATCTAGCTACCTATCATCTATCCTTCCAAGTATTTATCTATCATTCCAAGTATCTATCTATCTATCTATCTATCTATCTATCTATCTATCTATCTATCTATCTCTTTATCCTTCCAGATAATCAAATTATGTATCTATGTGATGGAAAAAGTCCTTCTGTGTATATGTTTGTCTTATTGGTTGGTAAATAAAGCACTGTTGGCCAATAGGGAAGCAAGTTAGGTGGGACTAGGAGTTGAGGAGGATTCTGGGAAATGCAGTAAAGAGGAGTCGCCATGTGATCCCAGGGAAGAGAGGACACGTGGTGCTGGTGTCCTTGATAAGTCTTTATAAAATATACAGATTAATGGTTATGATTGATACTAAAGACAGAGCTAGCAAATAAGAAATCTTAGTCATTGGCTAGCGGCATTGTAACTAATATTAATCTGTGTGTTATTTGGGGGCCCTAACCTGTCGGCAGAACTCAGGCAGCTGGCAGAAAGAGTTACATCTATGTATCTATCTATCTACCATCCACCTATACATCCATCTCTATCTTTCTATATCATTTATCCATCTACCTATCATTACTACCTACAATCACTATACTGCTCATCAGTAATTTAGTCATGCATCATTTTTGTGCTTATTTTTATTCTTTACTTTTTTCTTTTCAGAATGTTTTCTGCTATGTGTTCAAGCTGACCTTTTTAATTCTTCGATTATAGCTTCCCAAATTCTTGTTGTAGGCACGGGGAACCATGTTTTAGAAAACTCAGGCCAAATATACATGTTCTGTTAAGGAAAGAAATTGAGATAAACTTAAAGAAGCCTCTTCTTAGTTTTAGTGTTAAGACAAATAAAAGGTCTGTGTTTTTTCTCATGCATTGCTTTCTCACAGGTGTTGTTTGTTTCAAGATACAGATGTACAAAATGAGCTCCACTCGGGGACTGAAAGTGCAGTAGCAGCATGTAAGAGATGATTTTCTATCTGGCTTATACGTACAAATTCTGGGAGTAAGTTGCAAAATTAAAAATTCTGCACTCTACTCAGAACTATCTTTCGAAACAAGGTTTGGCATTTGCAACTCCAGACTCTCTTGAGAAGACGTAGTCGTCTTCCCCAACTACATAATTACTCACATTTGCAGAATTTTTAAAAGCCAATTAGGGCTTTGTTGCTATATGTTACTATGTATATTACTTACATGAAGCACTTGAAACACATACAAATTCTTCAAATATGCCAAGATAATGATATGACACTAGCAAACAAGTATTTAAAATGGTTAAATATATCAGCAAAAGTATTATTTTAAAGCATGGCAGATTGAACAAGAAAGAAGGAGTATGCTATAGTTGAGTATGAATTATGATAAACAGAGTTTCCTGATCAAGAGCTCATTGTAACTTTATATTATATAACAAATAGTGCACAATTCAAATACTTATTGCATAATATTCTCAGTACTTCCCCATTTATCAAAACAATTTATGAGGCACATAGAACTAGACATTTGATACAACATATGGTTATTCACATATAGTGCCTCCCTTTTTTATTTTTGTGTTTTTAGAAATGTCTGAAGTAATTTTATGCTATTGAGTCTCTTCAAAAACATTTTCTCATGCATGTCTTTAGCTAGTTAAATCTAGAGTGAGTAAATCAGTCTTCCAATCCAGAATGAAGGTTCCCTTATGGTAGGGACTACATTTTAATCTTTCATAAAACCTTAAAGAAATTTAACTTTCTTTTACTACACAGAATATTTGTCTTGTGCAAATTACAAAATTTTCTTGAAGTCATTTTAAGAGATATGCCCAAATTAATATATTGTAGTGGTAATACGTTGCTTATCTATATTGTTGCATGCAATTTTATCCTGGAATTTTACTATAATGTTTAAAAATGCATCACATTCAAATTACTAATTGATTGACATTCAAACTGAGGCACAGTATCTTGCACTGAATTCAAAGGGGATTACTTAGGCTCAACAATACTGCTCTTGTTGAAACAACAGTGCTTGATCAGCCTGTGAAAACATTAGTTATGCTAGACTCAAAGAGTTGAGCCAGTTTTGGTGATTAGGGACTTTAATTAGTAGGATTTATTCAGTGCTAGTTTATAGATATCTTACTTTCAAGGAGCTACACTTTTGCTTAATATCAATTGTTTTAAAATCTGCTTTGTACATCATTAATACCTGCACTTAATATGACCTCAAAGGCTCTGGGTTTCTACACAGATTTTTACTAAGTATCTGACAACACATATAACATCAAGGAAGAGAAATACCAAGGAGAAGAAAACTAAATTCTCCAGCATCATGTGTTTGTGTCTTATTTCTTACATTTACGGAGTCATAAGTGTGTGTGTGTGTGTGTGTGTGTGTGTGTGTGTGTGTGTGTGTGTGTGAACCTGAGCTGTCCTGTCCTCAGACTTGTGATACTTCTGTCTCAGATGGACCCACTAATGAGGGACCTACTTCCAGGCCTTTTCACCTTCCCATTGCTTCATAGACTTGATGTTCAGTTCTCTCAAACTTCTGTATTTGTAGAAAGATCACTGTCAAATTTTCATGCCAGGCCTCTGTTCTCCTTGTCTTCAACACACTGTCTCCAATGTAAAACTTCTTTAACAACCATTAAACTGAATCTTTGTTAGCAATTCTTGGAACAAATGTATGGTTGATGACATGAGTTGTCTTAACTGCTTTATGAACTCAAATAAAATTTTGTCTAATGACATTCTGTAACATAAAAATACATAAAAATCAGCGCATGTGTCATTTGCATAAAGAAAATCATATAAATGAAGGAATACATGTTAAATGATTTGCAGCAAGCCACATTTATCAATAATGTATTCTAATATCAAATAAGAAATAATAAGCAATGCAAAACTATATGTGAATCCAACCTTAGCTTTTATACAAATAAAATAATTTCCAGACTTACAATATGAAATTAATGTTCATTCAACAAGTTTTAGGTACATTTAGCATAGTGTGATTCCATTCTAAACAATAAAAAAGAAGTGTCTGCCCTAGGTTAAGAGAAACAAACTAATTTTAAAGCATTCGTGGTGTCTGTAGTGATAATGTGGGGCAGACAATGTCCCAGCTGAGTGACCTTCGTTCTCTGCATTAATCTCTCTGAGGTCTTCCCTTCATCTGCAAAAATGATAGTGTGAAATCAGTGGCTTTGAAGTCACTAGCCTCATTCATGATGTGCATTCCATTTGTGGGTTTTCTTTTACAGAGGCTGACGGAAGTTGTCCTCTGGAGGCAGGTGATGCACGAAGACTGGAGATGGGAACATACTCTCCTCACCTCCACAGTGCTTCCTGCCAGGCCCTGAAGAGAGCTGACTGACACTGGAGATTATTTTTCTAATATTTCAGCCAATGTGCTTTCATATCAGGAATAGGGAGAGTTAACTGTAATTTATCAAAGACAAATTATTTTATTAGCTACTCTGAATCCAGACTCACGCACAAGTTGCACTGAAACCCAGTTCGGGTAAAATGTCCTCAGAGAAGCATCATAGAATAGTTATTAAAAGTCAATATCCTGATCCAAAAGGGAAACCAGTCTTTTGGGATGTTTTCTTTAAACCTACTCTTACTGTTTGAAAACAGAAATTTTTCATTAAAGAGCCAAAACCCCCTCAAAGTTATAAATCTATAATCTTAAAAGACATTGAATCTGAAAAATGATATAATTTAATATAATACATTCCAATAAGCTTAAATATGGATTGTTAAATATATTTACATTGGCTCTATAATCTTCAGCAAGCAACACAATGTGCACAAATAATTGGGTCCCTGGGAATCAAAATGGGTATTTCCAAGTTGGAATCTTAACGTTCATTTATATTTAATATTTTTTGTGAATGCTCCAAGATATAATAACACAGTTTTATTTATGGCTGGTGCAAACTTGGATAATGTTGCCTGCACAGAGAAGCACAAGAAAATAAATTTAATAAGAGATCTAGAGGCATTGGAAATATGGCAACGAGAGGGTACTACCAAGATTTAAGTCGTTAAAAAGTACAGGGAATGATCCAATGCAACTATGCAGAGGGTGAGATAGACCACAGAAAAGAATAGGATGTAAGATTAATTTCTGGGTGATAGTACAGGGCAAATGCAATATGGACCAACAATAATAAAGTCCTTTATGCTTTTGAACTAGAAAGCCACATTGTGGCACAGGAGATGAAGGGCACAACACCCACTTGTTGGGCTTGGCTTCTGTCACTAATATACAGCCATGTAGTATCCTGATTGTTGCCACAGCAGAGTGTATTTCTGTTCATGTGTATTCCTTCCAAGTTAATATACTGCCAAGGAATAGGAAAAGACATGATGGCTACCCATGGGAACAATATTTAAATAACAGGAAAGGGAAGGAAAATGCTCTACTTTGTATGTGAGTTTTATTCTTGTTAAACAAAAACCTGCCTGCAGAAAGCTCAGGCAAGGAGAAAAAAATATTTTTAACACAAGAGATTTATGAAAATCAAAGCAAGAAAGTTGCTGTTTGATCTTTAGTTCATATAGCAATTAATGACCTTATATTTTTATATTTTATATAAATAGAGCCTATATTTTTAAATAAATTAAATTAATTGAAGAAGAAAATTTTAATCCATTTCACAGATGAGAAAGCATGAGGTACAACAAAATTAATCAACCATTTTAACCTCTTTCAGGATATGTGCTTTACTGAAAGAATTTATATATACATATGCTAAAGATCAAAGATCATGATTTTTTTTTCATTATTGAATTTGCTCATTGATTCTGTAACTGAGTCACTGGCCATTAATCCTGTAGGGCAATCTTGTGTCTCTTTATTTGCTTATAGAGGATTTCTTTGATTTTAGTTTATAAAGTCTTCATTAAGAATTTTTCAGTGCTCTAATTATACAGTAGACATCATAGCTGGAAGGATGTTTAAGTCCTTCTAAGTAAATACTACATGTGTCTATATGGAAATGACAAGTCAAGTGTGAGGACAAGTCAAGAAACTGAGGACAATGGTCAGTTAAGTGGCCAAACTCAGGTGCCTACTGTGAGCATGTCTTCACTCTGAACAACAGAGGAAGGAACATGAGTCAGATAACTGCTGTGGCATGTTTACTAGACCCATAAAACAAGTCTGTGACAAAGCTTAGAAACCAAGGGCCCAAAATTCAGATGTACAGATTGGCAAGACTGAAGACTAAGAAGAAAAAGTTTATGTGAAAATTGCAATGCAAAACTGCGCCTGCTCTCTAGGATTCAAACTGCACATGGCATACACATTGTTGAGTAATGGAGGCTTTGCCTTTGCTCATTGCCATCCAGAATATCATGAGGTTCTTCATTATCATCATTGGTTTAAACAAAATGAGAACACTCAGAATTACTCAAGATTTTTCTGAGGTATTATATTGAATATAATCATAATTTAAAATATTGATGCCATAAACTAAAAGTGAGAATTTGACTGAACAAAAATGACTTCTTAACTTCTGTTTGGTACCACTTTACCTTCAAGAAAAATGAGAGAAAATTGCAACCATTCACACATTTCAAGTATTTTTCAGCAATCAATGTACAAATCTTGACCTTATATACAGAAAAATTTAAAAGAAAAATACAATGAAAAATAACACCTTGGACTATGAACCATTGTATTCATGTCTCCATGTCTGATTCCTCATTTAGAGACATTTATATATAACTGATGTATGGTTAGGGTGAACCTGTTGAATGGCTCATATTTTGTTTTCTGATAATTTCGATTTTGAGCACATTTAATTCAAGGTTGTTAAAAAATCTGAAGATAGAGCCAAATAGTAGTCAGGCTAGTTCCCAGAGGTGTGACGAGCATTATACCGTTCAGTAGCAAATCCATTGAAAAGGAAGTCAGCTGGAAAATCGGAGTATGGTATCTTGTTAACAAGATTGACAGATAGAGGGGTAGCATTTTCTCTTTTTCCCCCTTTGTCTATTGAATTCCAATATTCTTTCTTTGCTGCATGAACCTGTGCTGTGATTAAATCAACCTATGCATACACTATAAGTAAATGTGATGATATTATACTTTAGCTTTTAGAGAGCTTGTGTGTTAGACATGTATAGGATTGAGGAAGGGAAGCAGAGCAGATAATGAAATCTAGAAGGCCTTACATAATGTAAGGAGACAAAAGTTACTGGCAAGGAGGAAGACTGGAAACTTCCAGGCTGAGAGGTGAAATGGACGGAAGCCACTGTTATAGGAGCAGAGGCCTTTCTTCCAGAGTATCTGAAGGTTACCAGTAATCATTATTTTTAAAAAATACATATAATAATAAGTGTGAGAAAGCCTCTGCTATTCTTGTGACCCCAGAAGCTTGTGAAATGGGACATCCTTTGTACGTCCCAGTCTATGAGGTTTTAACACCCGCCCCAACACTCTAATACCCTTCTTCCCTGGGAAATGTTGTCTTTTCTATGAGACTTGTCTGTTTCTACTGCCATTCAGACTTCTATATTCTGGGTTACAAAAACTGGAACTCTTCCAAACTGCCCAACAAACTACAATACTCACCAATACCAGGGAGCTAGAAATGGGAAATTACATGATGGAATAGTGAGCCAAATAAGAGAATGCTGAAGCCGTGTGTCAGCAGGGAGGCACAGAGTCAGAGTTCTTTGGCTATCTTGATTCATGCTGCCAAGAGTTTCTGTTATTGGCAAGATTCTGTTACTAAGGGACATATTTTTTAGAGCCTCAAGTTGAAGCTTTGATCAAAGCTGGTGGAAAATAGCCTGATAATTGAGGAGACAGTGGAGGAACTAAAGAACAGGCAGTATCTCAGAACCAAGAAGGATCCCCTCCTACTCAATGCTGTTGAAGCAGATTACAAGGGAATCATAGAGTAGACATGTTTGAGTTTAAACCAGCATGTCTATCTCCTGCACAAAGCACATGAGTGTTATTTCTGATGGGAACATTGACTTGTTAAGACAGCTGTAGGCTGGTGAAAAAGAAACTGTATGAAGTCAAGAATCTTTTCAAACTGTGAACCCAGTGCAGCATACATGAATGAGTATGAATGAAGTATTATGCCTATTAACATCCTTGCAATTATCCTGGCGTTTCAGTAATGCAGTTTTATTGTATTCTGTTATAACAATGTTAATTAAATGACTGTACCAGTTTTAAAGCAGTGGTCTCAACATTGGAAGCAGTTTAGCAATACATGTAGGTTTGTATGTGTGTGTTCATGTGCACTTTTGCTTTTGGTGTGTGTATATATTTATTAACATTTAACATTTTATCCTAGAGGTTCAGACTTCATAGGCTTTGAATATGGCCTAGTCATGGAATGTTTTAAAATAGCTTTGACTCATATTAATGCTTATCTTAGTTGTGTTATTCCAGTCAAAAGATGGTAGTACAAACTAGCAGAATGACTACAATCTGTAGAGTAAAACAGTATGATTATAGTCTCAATTCTATTGTATTAAATATGTGGACTGATAGGAATTATTTCATAGGATAGATAAAAATATGCAAAGAGAAGAGTGATGAAGATCAGAACAGCTTTCTGATACAACATGTATCATGATTATTTACTGAGTATCTGTAATACTTCAAATTAAGGATCAATTTGAATATATCTTATGACACATAATAATTGTACGCTTTGTAGTGAGACATGAAGGTTTTACCACTGGTATATATTGTGTAATGTTCATATGAGTGTCTTCTCAAACTTATGCTCTTTAGAGAACAGTAAAAAATGGTAAAATATTTTTGAAGGCTTTCTATAATGCATAGTATCCTATTGTTATCATTACTAGTCAACTGATGGAGAAGTAGCTCAACAAAATGACTTATTCCTATGCAACTGTATCTTAAACCCATCAGTGAACGTTTCCCCAACACTCATGCAGTTACTGTTTCTAGATTATGGTAGAGTCTAGTCTACTCTCAGTGTATACCAGAGCATCTTTGTAAGGTTTCACATGAGTGAGATTATGAAGTTCTGGTCTTTCTATGTCTGCCTTATTTTAGTTAAGATGAAGATATCTAATTCCACCCAAGTTGTCACAAATGTAAGAACTTTATCCTTATTAGGGGCCTGACTATTTTTGATAAGGTAAATGCACCATAATTTATCTAATATTCAAGCTTTTGTTTCTGTTTATTTCATTTTGAGACAGGGTCTCCAGGTTGGCCTGGAACTTACTGGCACAGGCTGACCTTGGATTTGCAATAATCCTCCTGTCCACTAAATGCTTGGATTATGTGTATGGACCACCATGCCAGGATCCATTTTTCAGCTGACAGCCCATTAATTTCATTTCTTGGCTATTGGGAGTAGTGCTGAAATGAACACGAGAGTGCAGGTGTCTCCTTGGCAGACAGGCTCATTTCAGTTGGAAATATTGTCAGTAGTAGGATTTCTGAATCATATGATAGTTCCATTTTTATTTTTTAATGTATTGTTACTGTTAATATGGTGATGTACTTTCTCTCAAAGTCATGACCTCTACTTCTTTAATTGTTTTGATTATTTTTAAAAATGAAAGATGGGGATGCCATTTCCATTTGTGTATGTGCATTACCAATTTTCTCAATACTTTTAGTTGGAAAGCATCTCTCTTCTTCACACATACATATATATCTAATCATACATACATACACACATACATACATACATACATACATACATACATACATACTATATCATTATATGCTTTGGAGACAAGGTCACACTATGTAGCTGTGCCTGCACTTGCTATGTAGACCAGGCTAGTCTAGAACTCACCGGGAACTGCCTTCCTCTATCTCCTAAGCACTGTGATTAAAGGTGTGCATCACTATACCTGGCCCTTGACCTCAGGTTATTTTTGTGATACAGATTCTAATTACTTAACAGAAAACAGTGGATACAGAAAACTTATAAGAGCAAATCTTTTGAGCAAAATGATGTGTTATTCATCTACAATATAAAATTATAATACTCAAAAGTGTTCTCTGCATGATATATTTTACAATCAGTTCTGTAAGAAATTGGTAATTGCTCCAATTGCTCTTGGGTCTGTTGTACCTCTGAATCCATTGACACAACTGAATATAAAAGTAGAATTTGGTCAGTTGCCAGGGTTTGCATTGGATTATCCACACTGGAACAATTTCTTGGTAACTTCTGGCTTCCCTAATCTGACAAACACATGTTACAACCAAGTTAAACTGGCTTTCATTCTCAATATTTCATTCCTTCATTTGAGAGAAAGATCTGATGGGAAAGGATGGTATAATTTTACAAATATTGCATGGAAAATCAAGGGGTGCAGGCAATAGTGAATACAATTTGAGGTAAAATTTGTCAATTTTGAAAAATCAAAATTTCTACCTAATTTGGCTGTTTTGGACATTAAGTAACTCAAATATTTTTAAATTTATGACAGGATTTTTGCTATATAGTATTCACAGCTATTTCTTTTGTCTTAAGCACATTTTTTTACTTTAGAAGAAAAAATACATAATTTATAATCTTAGCTGATGTGCTTTACTAAGAAATGCATCCTGTCTCATGAAGGTTATCAGCAACTTTCTTCTGAGCTACTGGAGACCAGTAGATATAAACTGGTACCTGAATGCTTACACAAAGCACAAGGTTATTTTCACTCACCCTTTCATAAACCTAGCCAAAGCACCCTAAAATGAATAAGCAACCCCCCCAAAAGCAAAAACAAAACAAACAAGCAGTCAAAAATCCAACCAAAACAAAGAACAATTCTAATATCATTAACAACAATAATAACAAACCTCTACCATTGACACCAGTGCCACTTCCAGTCCACCAAGCATACCAACATAAAACAGGGTTTATGACTTTTCCTGTTGGGAATCTCACAGGAGTGTTATTGTCTGACTGATCCAATTAGGGGGCAGTCTATGATTTACTCCCTAATACCTCAAAATGTTAACCATTAATATAAAGAATCAATACTTAATATCCAAACTTTTCTTTAAAACAAACATGCAAAGAATGCTTAGATTTTTTAAAAAAGAGTGACAGAGATCTCCCTTTTCCATACCTGGAACACTGAATACTTAGAAAGATTGAACTTAAAAAGAATTAAAAACAAGGCTATAAACATATTCACAGCTAATCAACACAAAAAATGTATGTGTTTATGCCACACAGGTAATACCTCAAGAAGTGTGTTTTAAGGTGTCTGTAATTAAAACTCTGATGGTATATGGAGGATGTGGCATCTGAGCAAGTTGGGGAACAATTGAAAGTAAGGACATGATGCTGCTGGGAAGGCTGGCTAACCAGCCAGGAGATAAACACTTTAGTATTACAGTCTGTACCATATTGTGGCATGGGTCCACTTGAGATTCCTTTTTAATCTTGGCCCTTTCTGCTCCCCAGGGAGGGTGAGGCCTTCCATAGGAAGTCTTAACAGTCTGTCATATCCTTTGGGATAGAGCCTAGGCCCAGCCCCATCTGTCTAGGCTCAGGGAGTATTCCTCTATGTGATTCCTAAGCTGATTCCTATGCTAGGGATAAATACTGATCTACTACAAGGGGTCCCATAAATTCCTGAGGCTACCTCACTGACACCTGCGTTTTTGAGGTCTGGAGCAGTCCCAGGCTGGTTTCCCACTTATCAGTCTGGAGTCCAGGAGCTCCCCCTTGTTTAGGTCAGTTTTTTTTTTTTTTTTTTTCTGTGGGTTTCACCAGTGTGGTCACTCCTCCTTCTCTGCAACTAGATTCCAGTTCAGTTCAGTGTTTAGCTGTGGGTGTCTGCTTCTACATCCACCAGCTGCTGGATGAAGGCTATAGGATGGCATATAAGTCAGTCATCAATCTCATTATCAGGGGAGGGCATTTAAGGTAGCCTCTCCTCTGTTGCTTAGATTGTTAGTTGGTGTCATCTTTGTAGATCTCCAGACATTTCCCTAGTGCCTATTTCTCTCTAAACCCATAATGTCTCCCTCTATTATGGTATCTCTTAACTTGCTCCCCGATATTCTTCCCCCAACTCAACCTTCCTGCTCCCTCATGTCCTCCTCACCCCTCCTCTTCTCCCTTTCTCATTCTCCTAGCTCCTTATCCCCTCCTGCTATGCTCCCAATTTGCTCAGGAGATCTTGTCCCTTCCCACTTCTCCGGGGGACCATGTATGTCTCTCTTAGACTCATCCTTACTTTACTCAGTGTTTTCTCTTGACCCTTTGTCCTTCTCTTTCCTTTTTGTGTTTCTGGCCTCATTCCCACCCCAGGTACTACTTTACCAACTTTATGCCAGTACAGAATAGATGAAATTTATATAAAATCATAAAATGTACATTCCTCTTGGCCTGGTTTCTTTTATCCAGCACAATTATTTAGAGATTCTCCACAATGTCTTTATCTTGGTGTGTATATCAATAGTATTTTTTATTGTTAAGTAGTATTCCATTATATGTACACCACTGTTTATCTACATATTGATGGATTTTATGTTATTTCTAGGTTTTTTGTGCTTTTTTTCTTTTAGAAACAATCTTATTTTACATGCCTTATTGGGAAAGTCCTTCTGCATATATGTTTGTCTTATTGGTTGATAAATAAAGTACTGTTGGCCAATAGGGAAGCAAGATAAGTGGGCTAGGAGTCAAGGAGGATTCTGGGAAATGTAGTAAAGAGAAGTCTTGTGATCCAGGCAGAAAGTGACATAGCTGGCAGACTCAGAATATAATCAGGGACAAGCAGGAAACTGCTCTCTTCCTCTTCCTCCCCCTCTCTTCTATGTGGAGCTGACATGTGATTGCCAGCAAGAGAGTCGGCATATGGCTGGCATCCTCAATAAGATAAGTTCTTATAAAATATAAAGATTATTAGTTATGGTTGATAGTTAAGACTGAGTTAGCATGTAAGAAATCTTAGTCATTGGCCAGCAGCATTGTACCTAATATAAGTCTCTGTGTGTTACTTAGGGCCCTGACGTGGCGGGGTTGGGGGGACAGGACTTGGGCAGCTGGCGGAAAGATTTATTGTTACACGTATCAATTGCCCTATTCCATAGACCTCTCTTCCCCCCTCCCTCCACAAATTTATAATGCATTGCAGTATTCTCCGTGATCTTACCTTGTTATATTCAAGTCACTGTCCTAGGTAGTGATGTGATATACTTTTCTTTACAAAAATCAAACATTTCCTTCAATATCTTAAGAGTACAATGATGGAGTCGAGCAATGAGTATATGGCTATACTCATTGACATGAGTATATCTTTTCAAGAAACCACCAGAGTGCTCTTCAAAGTAGTTGTGCCATCTCATATTCCCACACAAGTATGAGTGTGTTCGCTGTTCTAGGCACTGCTGACTAGGTTCAGCCATTCTGGTGGGTGCATAGCAAATCTTAGACTTGCTTTTAATCTCTTTTTCCTGATTACAATGAACATCTTTTTTCATGCATTCTTTCTTTTCCATATGTCTCTTTGGTAAAATACATGCCCAATCATTTAGTTGCTCACTTAAAAACTGAATATGCCTTGACACTGAATTGTACATTTTCTTGAAATATGAGTCTTCTATTGGATTTTTTTATTTTGATTTTTTTCTCAGTCTTTCACAGAGAATTTGAGGAGAAAATGAGCATTTTTAGTAATAATGAAGTTTTTTTTCTTTTATAGTTAAAAAAGAATTAAAAACAAAAAATCAGAAACAACAGCAACTACAAAATCAAGTTTAGAATTGAAATTTACAAAATTCCTATTAAATAAATAGCAACTTGAGCTGGCTATATGAA